AGAAATATAGGCGAAACACTACGGGATTTGCACATCAAAGACATCTTTACAGACACATCACCCAAAGCAGTGATAGTGAAGGCGAAGATAAACAGCTGGGACTACATCAAATTAAAGAGCTTCTGCACAGCAAAAGAGACAATAACAAAAACAAAGATAAACCCCACCAACTGGGAGAACATTTTTGCACCCAACACTAATGATAAAGGACTGATCACAAAAATCTGCAAAGAGCTGATGAGACTCAACAACAACAAAGAAAATAATCCAGTCAAAAAATGGGCAGAAGAGCTAAAAAGAAACTTCTCTGAAGAGGAAATGCAAATGGCCAACAGGCATATGAAAAAATGTTCACCATCACTTGTCATCAGGGAAATGCAAATCAAAACTACCATGAGATACCATCTCACACCAGTGAGAATGGCACATATTAAAAAAACTAGCAACAACAAATGTTGGCGAGGGTGTGGAGAAAAAGGAACTCTCCTGCACTGCTGGTGGGAGTGCAAACTGGTCCAACAACTGTGGAGAGCTGTGTGGAGATTTCTGGACCTACTAAACATAGAGCTTCCATATGATCCAGCAATTCCACTCCTAGGTATTTACCCAAAGGACACAGAAACATCCATTCCAAAGAGCACCTGCACCCCTATGTTTATAGCAGCACTGTTTACAATAGCTAAGCTTTGGAAACAACCCAAATGCCCAAAAATAGATGACTGGATCAAGAAGATGTGGTCCATATACACCATGGAATATTACTCAGCATTCAAAAAAGATAAACACATGCCATTTGCAGCAACATGGATGGCGCTGGAAGGGATCATGCTAAGCGAAATAAGCCAAAAAGAAAAAGAAAAATACCGGATGGTCTCACTCATAGCAGGAATCTAGAAAACTTAAATAAGGGAACAGGAAAATGAATAACTATAAGAAAGTGAAAATCAAAATCAACAAAAAACTATGAACCAGAGACACTTTTAGGGGGGCAGAGGTGGGAGGGGAGGGATTGGGGTCAGAATGGGGGCGCTGCAATTGTATGGGGAATATAACAATAAAATTTATTATCTAATAAAAAAAATATATAAGTTTATTGAAACTTCTATGAATGTTATACTTTAAAATGAATATTTCCCATACTTAAGAGAATCCATGAGGATATGCATAAATAGTGAATAATTTACTCCCCAAATAAATAAAATATAAAGCGTAGAATGAGTGGAGATTGCACCTGGCTAGAGCATACCGACAGGCTGTGTTCTCACTATAATCTGACAAAATACAAAAGGTGTTTTCTTCCCGAGGTGTAGCGTGCTATGCTTTGTTAATGTGAACTTTTATTTTCAAACATTTTTGCAAATATGATAGAGTCAACCATAAATTATCCTCAGTATCGGTCTGTAATTATCTACCTTATGAAAGAATAGCTGAAAATTTGGAAGCTCGTGTTAATAATGGCTTCAACGCGTAAGTTGGCAGGTAAATATTAGCACATCTGCACACGTGCACACACTCACACACACTCAGACACACACCTGACAGGACCTTCTTGCTTCCCCATGCAAGGCTGACAAAGTGAGCTTAAGCCGCTTCCCTTTACACACACAACCCAACCTCAGACGGGCTGTGGGTGCTGCCTGGTAAATCCCCCTCCTGGCCTCCACCCTCCTGCTTTACCATCCAGCCTGTTCTTCATCTTCACACACCCGGCCCTTCTGCCTCCAGGACGGCCGCCTGCCTCCTGGCCAAACTCCATCCCGCCTCCTTCAGAGCCTGCTCCTTCACCGAGTCAAGGTCACTGCTTTTCTTTAGCTGAAATCATGCATTTGCCCTGCTTTTCCTGCTCCTGCCCTTCAGCAGACTAACACAGGGTTAGTTCTCCATTTTTAAGGAACCCCACACAGCCCATAGTCCCCGCCAGAAGTTGCCCCACGTCTGTGCTCCCTTTTCAGCCAAAGGCCTGGAAAAGCATCCCTTCTCCCCTCCAGGAATCTCTCTCCTCCAGCGCTCGCCTTGCTCGGCTCCGTCCCGGGAAGGTCCCGCTCAGGCAAGCTCACTTCCTGACCCCACTGGCAGCTCCCGTGAAGGTGAAGACGAGGTTAATGGCTGGCACTTTCATGGCACCTCTAACACAGCCTGCCCGGTCTCCAAGTGCCCCCAGGCCGCTGCTGCTCAATCCTGTGCTGGCTCCTCCTCGCCTTCCCTGCAGCTGCTGAGTCACTCCCAACCCACGTCATGGTCATTGAGGGAACACAGGGCTGGCTTACCAAATCAGACGAAAATCACTGAGATCACCCAGTGCCAAGCTTTACTAATAAATCCTGAGCATGTGGGGTGATCATGAGGCACAGACAAAGCCCAGAGAAGTCCAGGTCATGAAACACAGCTCCCCCACTTCTTTCTTGGCATTTTGGGGTGCAAGGGAGGCACAGCTTAATAGGTGAGGTCTCTAAGAGGTTTGTGGAATGAGGGTTGACATGAAACCCGCCAGCTGTGTAAACTCTCTCATCGTCCATCACCTGGCGAAATGTCTTTATTTGAGCCCCTGATAATTGCATGTGTATGACAGCTTTTACAGTCTTGCCTCATCGATTCACAGATTCTAGTTCATTTATTAAAACAGGTATTTCTCGCTCAACCTGTCCCATGGAGAAGAACGGTCTTCTCGTAACTGTGTGCGTGCGTGCCCTTGGCGTGTTTGCAGAGGCATTTGTTTTGTTGTTGTTGTTTGATTGTTTTATTAGATTGTTGATCTCTTACATGTCTACATAACTTTGGGGCTACACTTTCACTCCTTCCTACATGCATGTGGTGCCCTCGTGCTCCACCAGACTCCCAGGGAGAAAGGGGAGAGGGCATTGGCATGGGAGGTTTGGCACAAGGGCATCGACCAAGTCATCTTTTTTTTCCTGGGGCAAAAAATAATGAGAACGTGGGTGCATGGGAGGTCTCGTGGACTCTCCTTCCCAGCCAATGACTTCCACCTACAACCACATCTTTCTCCTAATCTCTAAAATCATATTTCAATTAGCTGCTCAACATTTTGACTTAATCGGGTAATAGGTTGTTAGGCTGAAAATAAGTAAAATAGAAATAAGGGTTCCTTTTCTTTTTTTTCCCAAGATTTATTTATTTATCTATACAAGCACTGGGCACAGTCAGAAGCGCGGGAGGGTGAGAGAATTCACCAGAGCCAGAGCGGGGAGCAGAACAGGCAGACTGACGAAGTACACTGCTGAGGGGAGCAGCGGGCGGCAGGAGAGGTCTGCGCGCCATGTGGGACCCTCGCCGGTGGCTGGGGATCGAACCTGCGCTGCAGAGACTGCAGGCAGCTTTGCAGCCCAGCACTCAACCTCTGCGCCACCAGGGGAGGCCCAGTGGTTCCTTTTCTTAACCCCCTAAATGCATGGACATGCTCATGCACGTGCGCACACACACACCCCTACCTCTGTCTTCTTCCAAGTCTTCCAGTCTTGGTAGTCATTCTTTCTAATTCTCTCTCTCTCTCTCTCTCTCTCTCTCTCTCTCTCTCTCTCTCCCTCCCTCCCCCCACCCACACCAGGAATCTCCTTTTTCTCTCACACAGTATATTCAGTCGACCTAAAATGTTGCCATTTCTACCTTCCCAATATAACCAGAATTCAAAGGCTGCTCCCACCACTGCCACCATCTGCCTGGCTCAAGCCATCACGTCCTCCACCTGAATTGCTGAAATAACCTCCTTCCCTGCTCTCTGCTCCCACCCTTGCCCCCCAGCCCACCAGGCCTTCTTGCCAGATGGTTCTCTTTGAAAGATTAGTCAACGTGTGTCGCTCTGCAGCTCAACATTCTCCAGCCATTCCCATCTTTCTCAGAATAACCAGCAGAGCTTCTTCTGAATCCCTAGTACCTGTCTGACTTCACGTCTGTTACTTCTCCTTCTCCAGCCACACTGGCCTCTTTGCTCTGCCTCTGCCCAGCACAGTCTGCCCTCTGGACCTCAGTGATGTTGCATCTTCCACTTAGAAGAATAATAGCAGCATTTATGTGCCTTCTTTATCATGCCTTCCCTCGTCCCTGGTGTGTGCTTTAAAACTTGGACCCTCACCTGTCCTGGAATCTCTCTCTCTTCTGTTTTTATTCTCATTCCCACTTATCATCATCTGATGATAAGGCTGTCACTATAGTCTTTCATCCCCATCACCCACAATAGTGTCTGGCACACAGTAGTGTCTCAGTAAATGTTCATAAATTAATTAGCAGTTAGTCAAATCCATGTGTCTTGACCTAAGTTTATAGGATAGCACGATCAAATAATGCAAGAGAAACGACAGCTTCAGGCAGCAACATGGAAGACCTTGAAAATTGTACTTTGGAGTTTAGTTTTTATTCTGCAGGCTGGTGAAACCATGAAAGGAAATCAAGCAAAGCAGTGGCACAAAGAAATAAAGTCAAGGTTTAAGAAATCATGCTTAAAGAGTAAGGATAATGACAAAAGGCAAATTTTGTTCTTTAACATCAATGTCTTCTTCATCAAACTCAATAAGATCTGTGATCATGTGTGGGCTGCCAACAATTACCATGGGGCCAGGGGAGAAAATCAGGACCTGTTTTAATAACAGTTTTAAAAACCCATAGATTCCTGAATAAAGGTTTGAAAATATACTACTTGATAAGATTGATGATACTAGCTTGTAAGTATCTACACATAATATATAGGTATGTTCCCTAATATTTGTATGAAATGAGACTGTTGAATGCAGATGGCAGAAGTAATATTAAGAAAAACTTTGGAACAATTTGTTTTTTGAGAGCAAATTCTAGAAATGCAAAAAATAAACACTGCATTATCTGTTTTACCAGTTGAACTGATTAATTCCAGTTTCTCTATACTGGACCATCCGCCTTCCCCTCTCTGGTTTTTGCTGAAATTGAATAACAAGAAATCCCATGCACCATCAGTATGTTTTGTCTAAAACCTCATATCTTAATATATATGTATATATTTTGTCATTTTGCAGTACAACCGGTACCAGCAGTATGGCGCCGAGGAATGTGTGCTGCAGATGGGGGGTGTCCTGTGCCCCAGTCCCGGCTGTGGGGCGGGACTGCTGCCCCAGCCAGGAGAGAGGAAGGTCACGTGTGAAGGGGGCAACGGCCTGGGCTGTGGGGTGAGTACCAGTCGCACCCCTGGGTGCCAATTGTATGTGTGTTGTTGGCTTTGACAATTTGGCTGGGATTATAGCTTTGTTTATTTTCATTTTCCTTTGAACTCAGACGTTTTTGAATGGGTAGATAAGAAAACAGCTTTGACATTCTTTCAGAGGAACCCAGATATGAATATATACATATTGGAAGGGAGAGACAAGTCCCATTGAGATTTCCTAAGCTCTAATTGCTTAGCAATGTATTTATTCTTATATGTGGTGGCTCACTAGAATAGACACCCAAACTTTTCTTTCAGGGCTTAGCTGATTAGGAGCAAACATTTATTATTTCTTCAGAGTTTGCTTTAAGTAGACAGGAGTGAAGGGGAAAGAGAATTCCCCATCAGTAATGTCTTAGCGATGCTGCTTGCTTAAGCATTTCAAGAAATAAAATGAAGATTAATATGGAAAGCTTGAAATGCCATTGAGTCCTACAAATCACTTTAAACAGAGATGAGCAAAACGAATGGAGCCTCTTAGGGAAGCAGAGTAAGAAGCAGGAAAATGTTTGCTCCAAGAAGCCAACCAATAGGACCTAGTCCGTTTCTCCAGTGAATCTACAGCTGCAAAGTGACAGGGAAGGGACAGGGGATGCATAACTCAAATGCAAAGAGGTTTACTAAATTTAGGTTGAAATGACAAATGGATAATAAGCCCGATATTAAATTTCATGCAGGTCTAGAAAGCAGGAAAGGGTATGTGGCTGTGAAACGCTATTGCATTTTGATGGGAAAACATTTCTTTGAAAATTGCCAGCTCATGAGGAGCCTTGTGGGAGAAGGGGTGTTATAGGCAGAGGCACATTGCCCTGGCCTGATGTTCATTGGGGCTTGTAAGTCACCTGGGCCTTACTGGGTCTCTGTCGCCATTTGTGGGGCCTCCTGTTTGTCATGTGGCGGGACTCACAAAACTCTGGGCTGAGCAATAAAGTAGAGGACGTGGAAGTTGAAAGCTAATGAGATCCATGACGCCTGAATGGGAAGAAATGCCTTTGGATTAATAATTGTAATTGTGCTGGAATGCAAATGCAAGGAACGTTGTTATGAAAATATCACTTCTAAGATTACTGTTTAATCTGCACCCAGTCTGCGTGGCACAGCAGGCTTGAGATTCTGGGATTAGAGGGCTCTGGACTGTGATCATGTCAAATGTTACAGCAGTTGTTGACTCGCGGTGGGGTTGTGAGCTTCTGCGGGCTGATTGTCAGCCGTCGCTCCATCCTTGGACGCTGGATTTTGAGACCTTCACTTTCCTGATGAGGTGGGAGTTTCTTTGACCCAGTTTGTGGCAATTCCTGTTCATTTGACTTTAAGAACTTGGAAGGTTTTCTGTAATTTCAAGTTTTATACAAGTTGAACGTCATTTTAACACATCTGTCTTCCCTTTTTTGACACAACGTGATTGATATAAGTAAGTAACAGCCACTTTTAAGCTCCGCATCATGGAAACGTGCTGGGGCGGTGGCAGGGGGCTACTGTGCTGCTTTGATATCTTTGGGTTGAGAGACTTGTGGGCGGCAAATCTTACTCTGAGGAAGGAGGTCTCGTCAGGATAATTCTTTGTCCATGGAAATTCCAGACAATGAGCTTAACTTTGTTTTATTTTTTCTGTCTTGTTGGGTGGGGGGCAGGGGGAGTGTGCGCGTCAGTTTGTGTGTTAGTTGTCTGTGGCTACACAGCAGTCCCCGATTTTAACCACTTGATTACTGCGCCTGGATTACCTCACGGTCTCTGAGGGTGGGGAACCGGCGAGCGCTCGGCTCGGGGGCTCCAGTGCAGGGTCTCTTGTTGGGCTGTGGGGAAACTAGATTATCTGAAGGCTCTCCTGGGGCTACACGGCTAATGGCAGAGGGTCACCATGCCACACCACGTGGCTGTCTTCTGTGGCTCCTTATCCCAGGATGCCAGCCAACTTCCCCGAACGAGCGATATGAGACAGAGAGCAAGGGGGGGGCACCCGTGTGACTGCTGCTCTCCAGAGCTGCACCCACCACTTCTGCTCAGGCTGGTCCTAGAAGTGGGGTTCTAGACTCCCTGGCCTGACAGGGAAGGGAAGTCGGCTCCGTCTGAACAGAAGAGCATCAAAGAATCCATGACACACTTTCAGCCACCACAGTTTCTATTCTGAAAGGGCTGAGGAGAACCAAGAGAAAGGATTTTCTAAAATGTGCAGTTAATTGATGCTTTCATTTCCCTCCCTGCCGTGTTGCCTCGACCTCCACACTCCCTGTCAGACTCACATCAATTACAGTGGATTTGGCTTCTCGATGGAGAAGAATTGCCATCATCATTGCCTTTCTCTTCAAATCCTCAACTTTCACAAAGGATATTAATCCTTGCGGGATGTGTTGTCATTTAAAGGGGCAGCACTTGGTGCCTGCAGTTCAAATCCTGGCTCTTCCTACTGGCTAGTGTCTTAAACTTTCTTTGTCTTAGTTTCCTCATCTTTAAAATAAAGTATATCATATAACTTTGTGTTAGGTTATTACTAGTTTCAAATGATATAATAAGTATAAATGCTTCAGAGCAGTGCCTGGCATAAGGGAAGTTCATATTTGCTCAATATTTAATTAAAAACTGAGTTTTTATCAAAAGCTCACCTATCAATGACCCAATATTCAAGGAAAAAAACTGACAGAATTACCAAATATTCTTCCAAAGATTCCAGAATATATCCCTGGGTCACACCTGGTCTCCCGCAGGGGGGCAGTCCCTGTACCAGACCTCACTATGCCAGTCCTTGTGTGTCGCTCTTCACACGTCTACTTTGGCACAGGCCAACTTTCACCCTGAGGCCATTATCCAGAAATAGGATGCTTGTGGCTCAGGAGATCCCATGGACTTTTCTGTCCTTCATGAGGAACATGATGCGCGTTTCCTGGGCATCTTAGTGTGCCCTGAGGGTGGAGTTCACTAGGTTTTCCCTCTGGTAACTGACACCCAAAAACCTGGTGGAGCATGGGCGGGCTCCCTTGAGCAGAGAGGGGGCCATTCGTAGAATGGGCATGAAGCTCCTTTCTTGGCTTCCCTCTTCTCTGCCTGCCTCTTCCCTTTTCCTGGCGGGTTCTGTTTTGCTGTGATTTGTACATTCTTGCCAGTTCTCAGTATTTTCTGGATGAAGGAGAGTGACGCCAAGCCACTGTGCGGAGGGAAACGCGGCCATGTGTCTTGTGTCAGAGGCCGCGCAGGGCCCGCAGTAAAAGTTACAGGAAGGTGGGTGCTCAGCATTTGCACCAACACGTTGTCAGCCAGCAACAAGAGGAGCCGTCCGAGGAGGCAGAGAGCCCCTGACCCCACACGGCAGCCACACAGAGGCACTGACCGCACAGCTGAGGAAGAACCAGTGTCCTGGACGCAGAAGCCCTAGACATCATGAGCACCAGTGGTCCTGAGGCTGCAGTTACAGGTTTGTTGCATGATATCTGTGCCTTCACCTGGCTTCAATTATCAACACATTCAGAAGTACAACCCTCACGATGCAGGTTTCCAAGAAAGCCTTGACATTACCTAAGAAAAAGATTTCATGTGTCGAAAGGTTGAGAACCAAACTCCCTGTCTTCTGCGGGATTTAAAACCCAAACCTGGGCCTCCCTGGCGGCGCAAGGGGTTGAGTCTCAGCGCTATGAAGCTGTCCGCAGTCACTGCAGCACAGTTCAATCCCCGGGCAGGGAGCTACCCACATGGCACAGCAGACCTCTCCTGTCTCCCCGCTGCTTCCCTCAGCAGTGTGTTTCAGTGGATCCGCCTGTTCTGCTCCCCACTCTGTCTCTGGTGAGTCCTCTCGTCCCACTCCACTCTGCACCTCTGGCCTATACCCTAGCTCTTATACACATAAATAAATGAATGAAATAAATCTTTAGAGGGAAAAAAAAAGCAAACCTTAACCCAACATGATGATGACTACACACATGTTTTCAGAGCCCCAGCTTGTGTGGGGCTGATGTTCTCCTGCCTTCCTTGGTGGCCCCCCACCAGCCCCTGCTAGCAAATGTATGTGGTTTCTATCTGAGGAAGCAGATGTCAGCATTTGGATTGTCTTTGACTTCATTAAAACAGGTGCTAAGATAAAATGCTCATACGTATTTATGAGTTTCTTATTCAAACATGTAATAATGTCCATCAGAAAGCCAGGTCGCCTGGTCCTCTGCTCCATCACTAGATCTGACTGCCAGCTGAGAGCAGTGTCTAGCAGTTATGAATGAAGATAGGGGTCTCCACTTCAATGATAATATCAGTCCATCTACAAAAGGCCTTATGGAGATTGTGGTTGGACCAAATTTATTATCATTATAAAGAACTATTTAAGATGAAATATTACCCCCAGGATTCAAGTTGAAGTGTTTGCTTAGTCTATGCCTTTATAGTCCTATCCTCAGTCTGGCTATTCTTGTGCTCAGCAAACTTTTGGATTTGGGGTTCAGCCATCATTGAAGGAATGAATGACTCTTACCAATGTAGGAGTAATATGAATATACAATCACTTTTGTTTTCAAATAGTACCATTTACCCCAATATTAGAGTGGCTTACCTGTCTCAGTAAGAACTTCTTCAAAAAAATTTAAGCAATTTGGACCTCCCTGGTGGCGCAGCGGTTGAGTGCTGGGCTGCGAAGCTGCCCGCAGCCTCTGCAGTGCCTGCTCTACCCCCAGCCGCCGACGAGGGTCCCACATGGCGCGCAGACCTCTCCTGCCGCCCGCTGCTCCCCTCAGCAGTGTACTTCGTCCATCTGCCTGCTCTGCTCCCTGCTCTGGCTCTGGTGAATTCTCTCACCCTCCCACCCTTCTGACTGTACCCAGTGTGTGTATAAATAAATAAATAAATCTTTTTTTAAAATTTAAGCAATTCTGGGCCTCCCAATGACCTAGGGATTAAGTCTCAGCGCTGTCACCACCATGGCCTGAGATCCATCCCCGGCCCGACAGCTGACCCTCAAAATACACACACAGTATGTAATTCAGAACACCA